TATAAATAATTTTCATCTCTTGTAGTTTTTCTGTAAAAGTTGATAGTATTTGAGTAAAAAATTATTTTCGGCAATTTATATCTTGTTAACTATTGCGAAAATTGCAAAACGGTAGAGGACTTTTCTTCTCAGTTTAGTCCATTCTGCTCCTGTGCAAAAGACTTATCACTAATTTTCAAACACCCTGTATATGTATACATATAAAATCGCGCGCGCGCGTGTGTGTGTGTGTGGGAGGGAGGAGTGTATGTGTGTGTATAAAATGTAAATCAATTCATTAAAGAAATGATTTGACAATGTAAAATCAATAAAATGTTTCTATAACATACATATATAATGATCAGTTTAGTGGAAAAAAAATAATTTTCGTCACATTTGGACTCAAGTACAAATTAAAACTCACCCATTTTTGGTTCTTGAATACTTTGTTGTTGTTCCTCACTGCCTGTCCAGGTTTCAATGGGCCGATTAAAACCATGAGCAGCAGAGGCAGATGATGGATCGTTGCGGTTTGCGAATGTTCTTGGACCAAGACCTCGACCTCCGCTACGACATCCGCGACCTGATCTTCCGGATCCACCCCTGCCTCTTCTGCTATAGCTGCCATCACGCATACCATCTTCCATGTTCCTCTCATTCTCCTTATTTTCCCGTCCGCGCCCTATCCAAACAATTTTACAACAATTACAATTCATAAAATAAAGTAGAAATCTTTGTAATCTTGTTGCACAATTAACAAGAATTAACAAGGAGAAAAAGATCATTATAGATTGTATATATTTAGCCCGGTTGCATCAACATTACTCTGACTTTAAGCAAGGCTTAAAACTATCTCTGTCTCTCTCTTCGATTTAAAACGAGACAGGTTTTAAGTCTTGCTTAAAGTTGCTGCAATCGGGCCTAAATGAATAAAAAAATGAAAACTAACATCCACGATTGTCATGATTAACGCGGCCGCGCATACGCGGAGGACCACCACCACGTTGGTTACGTCGTTCTTCCCAATCGCCATTGTCGTCCTGTCCGCCCGACTGATCTGTGGTCTGCTTGGAACCGCTAGGCTGACGAGGCTTCTTCTTTTTAACCTCCCATTCTGTTTTCACTCCTTCCAGAAGATCGTTAACAGCACGGTCCAAATCTCCATCACTATCGTGCAGAGCCATGATCACCTCATCTTCCGAACGTCGAGTCATATCCATGACCTGTTTAATACGTTCCTTCAGAATAGGGTCCTCGCCTCCCGCCATTCTGGTATCGATGATTTGCGCATTGCGCATTTGATTTGTGTTTTGCTATATAACAATCATTATAGTTTTCTTTAGAACATTTGATATTACAATTTTATTGTATATGTATATATTTTTTTTATACATCTTATTTATGCATGTTTTAGATAAAATAAATATTATGTCAAAGATAAAACAATCTATCATGTTAAAAATATGTATTTGCTTATAGGAATCAATATTTGTATTTTTATTATAGATCTACATTACAATAATGTAATAAAGATGACATGATTATGTAAAAACAATTAACTTGTAATTGGTAATCTCACATATCCCATGTATTTTGTTTTATAAGTGATATTATTTGGTTAAGTTTTTAAAAGAATATAGATTATAATATAAGACTGTAATCCATTTTGGGAACGTGTTTATCAAACTAATAACTAAGTCAATATAAAAATAAATTTGTTTCAGACCAACCTGAGCCTTGTCATGCTTGGTCGAATCTGATGATTTAGTTTGATGATGATGATCAGATTTGCCATGATGTTGTGATTTATTTTTATTGGTGCCTCTTCCACCAGAGGACACCAAGGATTTGTTGCTTGAACTCATTGCCAACTAAAATCCCACGTACCTAAGCACTCACCGTATCACACTATATACACTCCCTATTTACAGTCTGAAACAGAGTACATTTGCTGTTATAATGCAATAATTTGTTTATACAAATAAAATTATGATTAATTTCCGATAACACAAATCATTTGATCATACAGTAACTTTTAGAAGCATTATTAATAAAGAAACAAAGACCACAGGAATATGTTATAATCTGATCATACAATAAGAACCTTGTCACGCAAAACAATTATAACTTTTAGGAACAAACAGTACCAAAAATTGAATTATATTTATAAATATTATAAAAATAATCTTGGAATTTCCAGCTTATATTAACTATTCCTATATTTTTCTTACTATAATTCTGTAATTTGAATTACTTAAATATCTATAGAGATATCATTCTCATATATACATCGTTATTATAAAATCTGTATGTAAAATGTATTAGTTTCTCTTCACTTATGAATTAACTTGACAAATTCATCCTGAAAACAAAGCCAGTATAAGAAGTATCTTCATTACTGATATATCTAGAGATAAATAAAGTTCAGTATTTGCAAAAAAAATCTAAACTTGTGTTAAATTAAAACTGATTAAACTGCTACTAAAGTTTTGCCAATTGCCACTTCTAAGGAATTAGATATAAAGATTTTGGACAGGGATAAATCACACTTATAAAATACATACTAATAAGAAAGTACCAGATTAGAGGCATCCGATAACAATAAACGGAAGATGTGGGATCCGCCTCAGGGAAAATAACGAAAGTTGAACGAATGTTAACGTTTATCACCTCGACGACTTGGGGCGATAGCAAGTCGCTCACGATGACGACGTTAAGTCGTGGAGTACACGCGTGTAAAAGTTTCGCGAGATGTCTGGCGAGCCACGTCAAGACGATCGCGTGCTTTGGCGACGCGTGTCTTGGATACAAACGCGTCAGGATATTCAACGGCGAGACGAGGCGAGGCGGGAAACGCACTATACGTCGTGGAATTTTCCGTCGGAATTTTCACGGAGGAGTCTCTTATTCCGTCGCATAGCGGAGATTCAGTAAAAGAATAAAAAAAAAAGGGGGGGGAAAACACTTGGTCGGGCGCGTCGTCGACCACTCGGCCGCGAAAAGCCGTGCGTAGAAACGAAATAAGAGCGAGAAAGAGAGAAGAAAGAGAGAAAGAAAAAGAGGCGATACGGAAGGGTAGCAGCTCACGCCAAGCCAAGAAGCGACACGCGCACAAAAAAGTTTCTGGTAACAACGCGCGATTACTCTCGTGGACGAGAATATTTTTCAGCAGGCCATGTGCACGGTGGACGCCATTTCTGCAATGCGAGAGGAAGGCTTGTCAAGCATCGCCGCGGCGGTGCATCAATGGATCCCGACGGAGTCTCGGAATGGCCGAGGCGAAAGAATCTTTGCGTGTAACTCACGGCTGTCGTGGACGTCGTGCGGATACCTCGGCAGACGCGACGGGGAGCGGAAGCGTGCGGGATTCACGGCACCTCGGCGCTTGGGGCCGCGGCGCGCGAAAAACCACGAGAAAAACAACAGATTCGCTATCGTACCTGGGTTAGTGCGCTCAAAACGCAGCTCGGTCACGTGACCGCAGGGCCCCCCTTCCCTGATGCACCAAGGCACCAACTAGTGCCCAACAGCGCAGCCAGCACCGCTTTTCCTCGCTCGTTATTGGGCTCTGTGTTCGTGTGTGTGGCGTGTGCGACGTATCGTCAGACCGGCAATCGAAGCAAAAGTAAACTCAACGCGCCACGTTGCATCGCCTGCTGCCTGCGGAAGGACCGCCATGCGCAAGTACGCACAATTCCGGAAATGTCGATGGTGTCGATATCCACTCACATGGAAATCGAAGATAGGCAATTCCGTCCACGTTTGACGCTTTAAACAAAATGAAAATTAAAAAAAAACATAATTAACAATAGTCGTGTAAAAAATAATTATATAAATGTAAAAATAATTGGATTTAATGAAAGATTCACTTTTTGCATCCGAGTATCAATCATAAAACCTTTTTCCTGGGATGAAAAGTGAAAAGTGGCCCAGTTTACATCGTGCATTTGATACGGATATTAACTAGTAACTCTCTATTGAATGATCTTAATTTCGGCGATACATTGAAACATATACATAATATGTGTATTTAATTAATCATTATGATGTATATTGTAACAATTTAATACATCATTCTTTAAATACATTACTGAAATTAAAATAATTTAATAGAAAGTTACTAGTTAGTACATGTATCAAGTACATGTAAATTAAACCAGTGAAAAATTTCTCCATCAGCTTCAAGTGCATTCCGTTTCACGTATGATGCATATGATGCATCATTTATCCTTATTCACCAAATGTTAAACAAGGATAAATGATGCACATTATGCGTGAAACGGAATGTACTCTTGAATGGTTAAAATTTTAATTTTTCACTTTCCATCCTAGGGATAATGTTTCATAAAGCCAGTTCTACATTAGTTGCAAGCTGGAGATCGATTCTGTATCTTGAAACAAGATGAAAATTACAAAGTGAGCGAATTTACTAGAATACTGATAATTTCATTGGTCAACGCCTAGTAAATTTGCTCATTTTGTAAAAAAAGATACAGAATCGACCCCTTGAGGATTGATTGAATTTTAAAAGAAAATGAAAATTATAAAAGTGAGCAAAGGTTACTAAGTATTGATCAATTAAATTATGAATACTCAAATAAATTTGCTCACTTTTGTAATTTTCACCTCATTTAGAGATACACAATCGACCCCTTGGAGATCAATTCTGTATCTTGAAACGAGAAGATCAATTTGGGGGTCGATATCTTCAAACAAGGTGAAAATTATAAAAGTGAGCAAATTTACTAGGTATTGACCAATGAAATAATCAGTATTCTAGTAAATTCGTTCACTTTTGTTTAATTTTCACCTCGTTTCAAGATACAGAATCGATCCCCTGATCACAAGTTTGTTGCAACAGCCAAAATAAACCGTTGATTTTAAAAGCTTCAGATTGGCTATTGTAACAAACTTACGATCGGCTTACAATTAATGTAGAACCGGTTTAATTAATAAATACCCCAATTACGACATACGCTGTTCAATAAGAAAATTTATTTTCTAAAGTTTCTAGCTAATAATGGGCGAATTCAACGAACTCAACAGTTGAGTTAGCGCTCGCTGTTATTGGTGTATTCTTCTAGAGCTAAAATTCTAATTAGATGAGCTAAAGAATAAGAGCAAGTGCTCACTTGACTGTTGCGGGTGCCGTCACATGCGGCGTAACTTGCGTAAGCGTAACTTGGAGCGACCAATCATATCGTTTCACTTGAACATCAGTTTCTGTCTAGTCACTTTTGTGCGCTATTTTGTTACGCCGAAACATAATGGAACTATGCGTCAAATCCAATTTCTGGCTCATTTCAGCTTATTCTGTCTGAAAAAATACATATGGGTTTCGATTTTCGTCATCAATTTTAATGCTTAATATTTCAGATTACAGAGCAGAGCAATGCTTTTTTTTGCCATATTCTTTCGCTTCATGCAAAAACGCGTCGAACAAATTTAAGAGTAGTCTCACAAAACTTTCCGATTTTAATAATTCATCCAATCATCCGCTCCTATGTACGCGATGGAAAGGTCCCCATGAGGCGTACTTTTCGATGTGTAGGTTACGAAAACCAATCGTAAATTCATTTAGCATTTCTGTTGTGATTATTGTCCATATATCTATTTTAGAATTTAACCTTAGATAAGAAAGCGTTAGAAATGCGATCTTTTCTTTATTTTCTTTACATTTCGTTTTTTTTTTTTGTGATCCATTTACCTATGGACGAAGGCCCTTTAGGATAAGAATAGAAATAAGACTTTCTAAAAACGGAAGGTATCTGTTTAATAAGAAATGCAATTTTTTCTTTATTTTCTTTATGTTTCGTTTTTCTTTGTGACCCTTGTCTATTTACTTATGAACGAAGGCCCTTTAGGATAAGAATAGAAATAAGACTTTCTAAAAACGGAAGGGGTATCTGTTTAATAACTCAATAACTCGAATTTTCGAGAAGCATTTCCGAAGCCTTAAAATAGAGAGCGTTTGGATTAATCTAGTCAGTTCATTGAGTCTTGTGAGACCATTCGCTAAAAGCGAAAATTGTAAAATAAATTTTGTAATAAAGTGAATTTTGTACAAGATTAAGAAAAAAAGAGTTTTAATTAAAAAACATTATTGCGAATCTTACACTGTTAGAGTGTAAACAGAAATTCTAACCAGCAATTGGTCGCATTTCTCTAATCTTCCGCGAAATGTGAATACCAGCTTTCAGAGTGGTATTCTAATAAATAAAAGATATTCTAGTAAAATTACTAGAATCTGCAGATTACGCTTACGCAAATTACGCCTCATGTGACGGCACTCTGAGTCCACTGAATGCGCCCTGTTTTTATTCTAGAAAATACACATTTATATTCATCTATTAGGTATCAGAATCAGAGTATCGATTATATAAATTTTCACGAAAATTTTATTTTTTCACTTTTCGTACGTATCAATCTCACGTGAAAAGTTTCACTTTTAAACGATTATCAGACTCAGATTATTAAGAAAATTATGAGAAAGTGAAATAAGATGTAAGGAAGTTACAAGAAAGTAAGATCATAAGGCGAATTTATATCGTTCTTTTTAAATTTACGAAAATTTAACAAATGTTCACGAGTGTATGTATGTATTATACATACAAGCATGTACTACATACATATTTTGATAGGAAATCACATTGTGCTCATTATTTGTTGTTCCTTATATATGTAATCGAGAATAACAATGAATGTAACTCAAAAACAAAAGGAAATGTTGTTAGATATAATGTCAAAAAATTAGGATATTATGTGGGGAAGTGTCGCGAAATTCTTAGAGCCGTATGGAACTGGTAAAAACATGTTATTTCATTGCTCTTGCTCTTAATTGTATGTAGTAAAACAATATGTATTTAAAACTCATAGAAAAATGTATGAGAGAACATAACACAAACCTTAAATTAATAATAA